ACGGACGGACGGACGGACGGACGGATGAATCGTTGAGGTCTGAAAGCAGCCATTCGAAACGCCACTACGATTGTGAATGGAAGTCGAATATCGTGGTCCATACCAAAAACGGGATTGATTAACGCCAAGGACTAACCTCATCAGGGCTACGTACGCAAACGCGTGTATTACAACAAAGAACGTTTGGGAATCATAAATATCTGACCTTAGCCCTCCTATCTCTGTGCGAGTCCCCAGTTGCCCCTCAAATACGATAGGTGCGGTAGATAGACAGATTGTCGTGCGTGCGACTGTTCCTAATTCCAACATTGGAATTCAGCTTTACTCATATCATGCAACGTATCACATGCCATGTATGCGGCGTGATTTCAGTTTCCGATGGAATTGCAGATCCCTCCTATCAAATTTGTGGTGCTCGCGTAATTCCAAGCATTTCACTTGAAAATTGTTGTGATGATTGTATTTTTCTTAGGATTGGGAAAGCAGTCATACATTAAGTCGTTGTCAGAAAGAGGGAAGGCTAGCGTAAACCACCTAGTAATAAATAGGGTGGCAAAATGATAGTGCTCACAGAAAGGGGTCTCTCGGACTGCTCGGCTCTGAGATCTTCATTGAGTTGCTACGTATACTCTTATTCTGGAAACAAATGAGCTCAACGATTACAATAGCTTATGAATAGTGTATGGATTTCAGTGGCCAAGTGTGCTTTTCAGCTACTATTCAAATTTTCAGACTCTCGATGACTTTTCATCTTGCGGCGTTCTGGTTGTAGAAGGAGCTGGCAGTTCATTTTGCAGTGGAGCCGACCTTGGGCTGATTGATCAGGTAGCTTTGTTTACAATTTCAATGTTTCATAGGACTCCGTCAAAAAGTAGCCACCTATAATTTGAAATACATACATCTCGTGAGCATACAAGGCTTCTGATCCTCCCTGCTGATTGGCCCTCTCATTGAGGGATCTTCATCATTCGTCGCAGGGCTACATGTCGGGACCGTTGGTGGAGGTGGGGGATAAATCAAAGACCAAACATCACCAGAGTTTCGAAGACGCAATGCATTCAGCAAATATACGTTTTTTTTCTGCTGTGTTGAGTCAGCATATATCTTCTCTTCTCGCAGCTGTATCCATCCATCCATGCATGAGCGTGTGGTGAGCTCGCATATGCGCCCGACGCGGCATGTTCGCCCAGCCACGCTTCTCTTCGACAACGACTTGCTGCTCTGGAGAGCCTTATTTGCTTGTCAGTATGTGAAAACAGGGGAGTGAGCTGGACTGCAAGCAATTACACAATCTTCGTTTTGCTTACAACGTAATGCGTACAGCACAGAGCGCCAAGCGGGCAGAACGAACTGTGGCCTTTTTTCGATAGCACAGGTGAAAATACGGTCAGCAAAACTCGGAATGATTCCCCTTGCTCCTTTTACGCTCAACAGAATCTACAACTCCGATAATCCAGCAACGTGTATCTCCTGTTTAAAAAGAATCTAGCGGCATGAGAGCAGTGAAGAAGACTAAAGAGGAACGTTCTGCTCCGTACCTGTCTTTTCGACTCTGAGGCTTTTTCTGTTTCCCCTTACCTCTCAGAGACTCAAACTATGCGGAGACAGATGAGCAAGCAATTAGCGCAGTTCAACACGCTGTGGAGGTAGAGAATAGTTCAGAGTTTATAGCTTTGCTAACAGACGAGATTCGGGCGCTGCTGTACATGCCAAGTAATCGAGGATCAGGTGGGCGAACACGTCATGCGATTTTGAGGAACGAAAGCGATTACCCACGAAATGGGTCTCACGTAATGTCATACCAACGTAAGGACCGCATTTGGCCTAACGGTCACAAATTTCATTGAAGGCTCAAACGCAAGAATCCCCTCAGCTGCTTATTTTCTCCTCAGCGAGGAGGTTCCATTGGAATGTTCGCACACAAACGGAGTGAATGGATACGCCACTGGCCACCACTCGAGCTGATCCATGTCTCACCGTACAACATGTTACACAAGCTATGCGATGTCCAAATCGATGAGAACTATAACTTCGAGTAGCTGCATTGTAGTGTGTGCACCCGAAGAACTTTCGGTATTATATTTCCAACTTTTTTTCAGCTGAGGCAACATCAAGTTTACGGCTTCAGTGGAACAGATAGTAGTAAATTGATTTCATTAGCGATGGGCCCACTATGCTATCTGTAAGCTTTTTTGAATTCGTTATTTTTAGCTGTGCGATCCCTCACTTGGCGAAGCTATGTTTCGATTTATGTCTTCTTCATTGGGTATGATTCGCTCTTCTCCGCTGGTGAGTTATCAAAAGTCTGGGCTTTGGAATTCTACTCAATGAGCTACGTAAATTGCATGGTTCTTCAGCGAGTTATGAAGACGAGAGATTATCAATTTCACAAATGCTACATACATTCTCACTTACTCTTCATGATCTGAAAAACCTTGCTCCTGTAGCGCTTTGTAGTCAGTGCTCATGAGAACCACCAAGAAGAATTTGTGGGGTGATTTGACTCTTCCAGAATTTCAGACTCGTAATACCATGAATATTTTCTTTTTCCTGTGCATTTTTCTATGAATCAACAATTGCTTGTTCGTGAAATGAACGAAAGTCACTGCACGTGCACATTAGGTGAGCGTTGCACGGATCCATGGACACTGTTTGGGTGGAGGAACCGAAATTGCATCGATGTGCGATCTTCGCCTGGCACATAAGGATAGCAAAGTATGGTTACCATTAGAAATATCAGTTGTAGTTCTCTGATTTGTTCTTAACAGTATTACAGTTTGGCTTCATGCAATCGAAGTTGGGAATCGTTCCTTCATGGGGTGGAGCGAACTACTTGGCATCAATTGTTGGTCGAAGTACGGCATTGCGTCTCATGACTACAGCTACTATGCTTAACGCTTCCCAGGCCAAGGATATAGGCTTTGTCGACGTTGTCTATGACTCCGAAGACGATTTCGAGGTACAAATGTCCTTTTAACCTTTTCACGTCCACATACATAGCAGAGGAGTCCCAATTATTGAAACACGATCCTAAACAGAGAGTGGATGCAAGCTGGTAATATAGGAGAACGTCCGTTGCGCGCGTCCGTCGAAAGTAGGTCACCCCACCCACTCCGCGCGCGGCGCACCAAAACTGAGGTCTTGACATGACATTACAGTACCTCCAAGTGTCATTGGAGCGACTGATTTGCATTTGCCCGTGTTATCTTCCCTTTGGCTGTCTGCTGTGGACCAAGCGTAAATCGTATGCCCCATAGACAACTGCGACGATTGTCGAGTATCGCGGGCTGACGCGTCGCATGCGACGGCTGCGGCGTGACCTAGATTTAACGGACGCGCGCAACGAAACGCACCCGGTAATTTAAGGTACAACTAG